AACCAACTGCCGGGCCAGCAGTTGGCAAGCTCGCTTCGGCAGCACATATACTAAAATTGGAACGATACAGAGAAGATTAGCATGGCCCCTGCGCAAGGATGACACGCAAATTAGTGAAGCTAGGAAAGGTGTTGGTGGGTGTCATGGTGCCCAGGGCTCCATGTTAGGGACCCTTGATCTAAGTAATATTTTTAAAAATTCAGGTTTAAAGCCCTTGTATTTTATACTCCAGTTTGGTCTGGGGAAAAAATAAGGGAGAGAATTTTGGATTGTTCTCTGTGGCAGTCCCTGAAGATTTCCTCTGAGGAGCTTACAAGAAGCCACTGCATGTGATGTTCGTCATCATTTCCTAGATTTTGTTTTCCGGTGTTTCTGCAGGATCTGTAGAAGGAAAAGCTTTTACTGATCTTGGCTCTCCTTTTAGCTGCAGTTGGGGGGAGGATGTTGAATGAGGGACGAGCGAGCTAGCTGCAGCAGAGCCTGGGTGCAGGAGGCACCACGCCCTTCCCTAATCCCTCCTGATGCTCTCAGTATCGGAGTCCAGTTTACTTTTGTTGACTTGTCAGCAAAGACGTATTAAATTGCTTACTGGGGCTTTTGCTGGCAGCTATTTCCTGATGACAAGATTACGGATAAGCAGCTTGAGGTTTTTAATCATAAAAGACATTTCAGATCAACAGAAACATGACCTTTGTGCCTAGGTGTTTATATGTCGGTGAAATATCTATAGACGTTAATAGACTTTGTTTGCCCCATTCACTGAACAAATGCCGAATGTTCAGGAATCCCGCAAGCAGTGTTCCCTCTAAGCTTAGTTAGTGTGAGCCAGCTCACAGTTTTTTAGCCTCTGGCTCACACATTTTTGTCTTTGCTCAGGAAGGACGGCTCCAGAGCAAACGGATTTATGCATTAGCCAAATTGCTCACTCACAACTTTAATGCCAGTGGCTCAAAAAGTAGAATTTTTGCTCACAAGACTCTACAGTTTAGAGGGAACATTGCAAGCACTGTGGACTTCCTTGTATTTTCCAAGGACAGAGATGATTTTGGAGGGTTTTCTTTGCAAGGTGTCCCGTGTCATTCCATAAGGATAACAAACGGATGGACGTATCCTTGTCTGGAGACAAGTGGTTGGGAAGCCAAGGAAGCGGGATTGTGCAGCTGGCGCTTCACTAGCTGAGGAGCTGGAAGAGCCCTGAATGGATTTCCAGGGTGTTTTTCTTGTTAAACAGCAGGGGGGGGGGGGGGGATTCAAGTCAGGTTGAAGGCACAGGATTGTGGGGTGTTTTTAAAAGTTATTGTACTTAATGAAATACAGAATTGTAGGAATGCCTCTTTGCCTCCGCTTGCGTTCTGCAATATGCCTGTAATTGAAGCAAATACTGCAGAAGCACCATGAACTCGTGCTCTCCCTTCCAGAGGGAATTGATCCAGATAAGTGCTGGCCCCTGGAACTTTGTACCACTCAGAAGTGGAGCACGTGTCAGAATGAATGCAGAGGGGGGTAAAGATGCTTCCATTCACCCAAAGCCTCGTAGGAAAGACCTTTGTTGTGCAATCCTAAGCAGAGTTTATTAATTTTTATTGAAAACATTTCTGTGCTGCCTTTCCACCCAAATAAGGTCCCCAGGGCAGCTAACAAAAAAAATTACAATATTAAAACAGCACAATAATAATTTTATACACACACATACACACACACACTCGTATAGCACCAAATCTAGGGAGAAGGGCTGGTAACCGTTTTTTGGGGGTTGTACCTCTGCTTAGGTTTGTACCATTAGACGTATCAGTAGGGTTGGCTTTGAGTTTTGTTAATGCTGTTGGAAGCATCCTCCTCTATGGTGCCCAGGATTTAAGGCATCACCCGTTCTGAATGGGGTTGCACTCCCCTTGAAGGAACAGCTCCACAGTTTGGGAGGTGCTCTTGGACCCAGGCCTACTGTGGGATAAGCAGGTGGGCGCTGTGTCCAGGAGTGCCTTTTACCAGCGTAAACAGGTTAGCTGGCTGAGGCCTTTCCAGGGCAGAAAAGATTTGGCCACTGTGGTACATGCCCTAGTTGCATCTAGATTAGATTACTGCAATGGATTCTATATGGAGCTGCCCTTGACACATGTTCAGAAACTTCAATAAGTGCAGAAGGCTGCAGTCAGGATGTCGATGATGACTGGAATAGGCTACAGGGATCATATCACTCCAGTCTTGGCCAATATACACTGGTTCCCAATTTACTTCCAGGCCCCATTAAAGGTGTTGGTGCTGACTTCTGGTCGGCACGGCACAGTGACGGGCGGTCTTTGGATCACTCCGAGATGCCCGATTCCTTTCTGCTTCATTTGGGAGCTCCCCAGGTCTTGGGAGCACCCAGCCAGATCTCCCGGAGAGAGATCTGGAGCAGGGGGCTCTGTCGTGGCCCCTCCCGTGACTGGCAACGCGGGGAGGTGTCCACTTCTTGCCCTGAAGCAGGAGCGGTCTGTGAAGAGGAGCATGGCCGCCATATTCCTCACAGCCACCGCCTCCCATTTTACCTATATTCAAATTCATAAATGATGAAGTTGAATCCAAAATTTTTTTTTCTAATGGATGTATGTACTTGATAATTGCTTTATTTAGTGAATGATAAGAAGTAATTATGCTTTGATTTGTTGTTGTTCAGAATATGCTACCAGTAGTATAGGGTGTTAATGGGATGGAATGCTTATTTATGATCTATTATTGATATGGGCATTATTGTGAAAACCCAATAAAAATATATATTTTTTAAAAAGCCCTATATGATTTGGAACCAACATATCTGAAGGTCCACCCACTCCCTTATGAAACCTACCCAACTACTACGATTGTCTTTGGCAGCCCTGCTTCAGTTGCCCCAGCCTCCTGAAATTAGTCAGGTAACAACCTGGGAGATGGCCCTCTTGGTCATGGCACCAAAACTCTGGACCTTCCTCCCCAGGTAGATTCATCTGTTCCATTCTGCTGCCATCTTCCACCTGCCGGCAAAGACTTTTTTGTTTAATGTGGCATTCCCTCAGTGATCCTTCCTTCTTGTTCAATGTTTTAAATGTTGTTTTTATGTTTTTGTATGTTTTAATTGTTTTAATTGTTTAAATGATGTGTTTTTGGTTGCTTTTAATGGTTTTTAAAGTGTGGTTGTGACGTCCCCTTATCTGGGGAGGTCTGGTTTCCCTTTAAAATGTTCTTTATGTTTTGTTTTACTGTGTATATCCGGCTGCCACCAGGAAATTTAAGGCTTTCCAAACCTTTATACTATAATATTTCTATCACTGGGTAGGTAGGTTGGTTTTTAGGCTTTCCAGGTTCTAATGTGGTCCTGGGAAGTATTTCTTTCAGAACTGGTATCTTAAATAAAAGTAGATTTATTGATATAATTCGTAAATAATATGGTAGAACACTGTAACTAGGAATGGGTAAATACTAAACAATTGCTTTGGGTATTTCACACACTTTTCTCTCCACTGTCAGGGATCTTGGCATGTAACTTTGTAACTTTAACTCAAGGTCATGTAAGTTCACTGTTTCTCTCCAGGACATACAGCCTTTCCTAAACTGTCTTCAATTACTTTCATTTACATTTTACTATTCTCTCAGAACAACCTCAGCTGTTCTTAACTGCACACACACAGACTGCTTCTCTCACAGACTTCAGAACGAACTCTTCTAACTAACTGTTTTTCTGTCCTCATGTCAAAACCTCAAACTGTCACTCCTGATAGACATACATATTCATCCACACAGCATCACTTCCAAAACCCCTCCCCCTCTCTGTCACTCACCAATCACACCCCTTGTCTGTTTCAAGCACTCTAGTCTATCACATGCAACCAAACTTTTAAAGAGACACACACCCATAAACAAGGAATTGTTACAGTGGTTTTATTACATACATTTGATTTATTAGTTGCCTTGGTGGTGCTTATGAGGGCAGAAAAGCACAGTATCATTTTTTTAAAGCAAAAATGGATATCATCTGCAGCATGATAGACAGATGCTCCGGAACCATGGCTGTGGAATGGCGGACTACCACATATTTTCGTAACCACTAGAATGTTAACAGGAAGAGCAACAGAGGGTTGGTGATAAAACGTCTCTGGCAGTTGTGGTCAGAAGATAAACAGTAGAATTCCTAAAGCTGGTTCAGTTGACTTTCATTAAGAGGCACTTCTACAGAAGAATCATCATGCTCACTTTTTGGAGTCTATTTCATTGACATGTCCCCATTAGATCTGATGCAACTGAAAAAGTTTTGGGATCCTATGCCTTAAGTTTGCTATTATGGGTCAGAACAGGTAACTGGGTTCATTTATACAGTTGATTAGCCAGTAGTCCAAGGAATAAGGAGCTACGGTGGCTCAAGTGGCTAAGACGCTGAACTGCAGGCTGTGGAAAGTCGTAGTTCAGCAGTTCAAGACCCGGGTGCCGCATGACGGAGTGAGCTCCCATCTCTAGTTCCAGCTCCTGCCAACCTAGCAGTTCGAAAGCAAGAAATTGCAAGTAGATAAATAGGTACCACTTCGGTGGGAAGGTAACAGCGTTCCGTGCGCCTTGGTGTTTAGTCATGCCGGCCACATGACCACGGAAACGTCTTCGGACAGCGCTGGCTCTTCGGCTTTGAAACGGAGATGAGCACCGCAACCCTAGAGTCGGACTCGACTGGCTTTCGAGTAAGGGAACCTTTACCTTTACCTTTTAGTCCTAGGAATGCAGCGTATGATTAAGTTTAGGGTTAAACTTCATTTGGGACTAAATCCAGTTGGGTTCCGTGGATTTTAATCCTGTATGAAAGTGTGTGACTCCATAGCAGATGTATTCTAGAAATAATTCGGCCCAAACATTTTAATGAATGTAATTTCTTTCTATACAGATTCAAAATGAAGAAATAGGTAATGAAGAACTGATGTGCCCTGCTGAATAAATCTCCAAGTATTTTCATTGCACAATGGCCTTTCACTATAACGATGCCTTTGAAAACCCAGACTACCATGACTCTGAAACGCTGGAGCTTGACAGAGTGTAAGTTTGAAATGTAGTTTATAAGACTACAGACAGTTGCTATTGTTGACTAACTGGGAGAATAACTTCAGGTGGTCTGAAGCAGCAGAACAACGTTTGAGTCCAGTGGGGCACCTTTAAGACCAACACAGTTTTATTCAAGGTGTGAGCATTCGTGTGCACGCGCACTTCCTGAGACACAATGAAATGGAATTTACCAGTCCATACATATAAACTGCGGTGGCTCAAGTGGTTAAGACGCTGAACTGCAGGCTGTGGAAGGTCAGTAGTTCAGCGGTTCAAGACCCGGGTTGCCGCATGACAGAGTGAGCTCCCGTCTCTAGTTCCAGCTCCTGCCAACCTAGCAGTGCGAAAGCAAGAAATTGCAAGTAGATAAATAGGTACCACTTCGGTGGGAAGGTAACTGTGTTCCGTGCGCCTTGGTGTTTAGTCATGCCGGCCACATGACCTCGGAAACGTCTTCAGGCAGCGCTGGCTCTTCAGCTTTGAAACGGAGATGAGCACCGCAACCCTAGAGTCGGACTTGACTGGCTTTCGAGCAAGGGAACCTTTACCTTTACTTACATATAAGCAGATGGATCCAGGTGGGCGTGTTGGTCTGAAGCATTTTGTTGGTCTGAAAGGTGCCACTGGACTCTAACTTTGTTACATAGGCAGACAGAGCTGTAAATTAGCATGCAACATAATGAAGATGTTTGTCAGATTCCAGAATAACAAGCTTAAGTTTAAATGGTTACCACTTATTTGGGTTCAATGAGGGGGAAATAGTAAAAGAGATAAATATGTTTACATTGGGGATTGATGTGTCCTTAATTGTAGAATGCTGAGAGCAATTAATTGAGACCCTGTTCCATCCGTCTCCTCTCAAGCATGGAGGCGACCTTACAGCATCATCTTCCTTGAAGTGGGGCGACTGGCTGTGTAGATGTATCTCCCCTGTTCCCAAACCAGAGAAATTCAATGCGATCTACCATTCCAAATTACATCACATTTTACATTACAACAGTCTCAGTTTATTACTCTTAACAATTAAGAATGTAATTAAATATTAATGTATTTGGAATGGTAGATTTAAATGTATTTCTCTCGTCTGGGGACAAGGAAAATGACTCTATGCAGACGATCGCCCCATTTCAAAGAAAAAGATGCTCTGTAAGGTCTGCTCCGTGCTTGAGAGGAGAGGGGTGGAACCGAAACAGGACAGACTCTCACCATTCCACAATTAAGGATACATCAGTCTCCAATTCTGACCTATTTATTTCCTTGCTATGTTTCCCCCCACTATTTGATGCCAAACAGATGATAGCCATATAAACTAAGCTTGTTAGTCTTTTAGCTTGTTAAAAACATCTTCATTATTCTATATGCTAATTTACTGCCCATCCTCTATATGTATGACTGTTATTTCTATTTTCATTCCATTGTATCTGAAGCAGTGTGCGTGCACACAAAAGCTCACACCTTGAATATACCTTTATTGGTCTTAAAGGTGCCCCTGGACTCAAAATTTGTTCTACTGCTTCAGACCAACACTGTTGCCCACCTGGATCTGTTACATTCTACTACATTATGATAGCTCCAGATACTGACAAGGTGAGCTCACACATGAAAGCTTATACCTTGAATAAAACTTTGTTGGTCTTTAAAGGTGCTGCTGGACTCAAACTTTGTTCTACTATTCATTATGCTACATTAAAATCTACTATTCTAATCTGTTATTCTAAATAAGAAATAAAATAAAGAGGATGTATGGCCCTTCTGGGGGATTGTTAAGAATACAGATGGAAGGGCTGAATGAGGTTAGCATATGCAGTGAGATAAGAAGCCAATATCCCTGTTAAGTCCTGGGGATTCCATTGTTCTGAGTGTTGTAATAACTTGCAAACCAGCAATTTCCCTTCCTAGTCTGTTCCTGAAGTTCCTTTGCAAGAAGACAGCTACTTTGAGGTCACCTGTTGAATGTCCTGGAAGGCTGAAGTGCTCTCCTACAGGTTTCTCAGTCTTGTGATTCTTGATGTCAACTTATCTTTTGCCGTAGGGTTTAACCTGTTTGCTCTATGTAGAGAACCAAAGGGCATTGTTGGCATCTAGTGAATAAGCCTGAGATGATGTAGTTGATATTGTTAGGTCCAGTGATTGTGTTGTCTGGGTATATGTGGCAGCAAAGTTGGCATCTGGGTTTATTGCAAGCTCTGGTCCCAGTGTCCATGTTCAAATTAGATGTTGTATAATTGTGGGTGAGGAGCAATGCTCCCTCTAAGCTGTGGAGTCTTGTGAGCAAAAATTCTACTTTGTGATCTACTGGCATTAAAGTTGTGAGCAAGCAATTTGGCTACTGCATAAACTAGTTTGCTCTGGAGCCATCCTTCCTGAGCTAAAACAAAAATGTGTGAGCTGGAGGCTAAAAGCCTGTGAGCTAGCTCACAATAACTCAGCTTAGAGGGAACACTGGTGAGGAGTTGTTTAAGATTGGGGTGCTGTCTGTGTGCAGTAAAAGGTTTTCTCCCCAGTACTTGTGTGAGAGAACTGTCATTATTCCGGAAGAGGTGGTAAGTCGCTGATGATGTGTTGAACAGTTTTGAATGGAGAGCTGTATGTGACCACTAGTGGTGTTCTATTATTGTCTCTTTTGGGCCTGTATTGCATCAGGTTTTCTCTGGGTACCATTCTGGCTTTGTTAATCTGTTCCTTGACTTCATCAGGTGGGTACTTTAGTTACAGAAAGATTTGTTGTAGATCCCTCAGGTGAGAATCTCTGTCTGTAGGATTGGAGCAGATGCAGCAGTAACTTTTTCAGTTTAAATCATCAACTCCTGTTCACATGTGTAGAATATCCCATGTTAATGTAGTTTTATTCACAGTTTTCAGATTAAGAATGCACATGGAAGGGGTAACTGTCTTGAATTAAGCTGATGCTCAAGTGTTTTAGTGCAAGCAAGCAGCTGTGGATATTTGTTTAAAATCAAACTGATATTGGAAATATAGTTTATTTGGTGCTAGTTTGGTGTAGTGGTTAAGTGTGCAGACTCGAATCTGGGAGAACCAGATTTGATTCCCCACTCCTCCACTTGCAGCTGCTGGATGACCTTGGGCAAGCCATAGTTCTGATAAGAACTTTCCTTGAAAGGGCAGTTCTTGAAAGAGCTCTCTCAGCCCCACCTACCTCACAGGGTGTCTGTTGTGTGGAGGAGAAGGGAAGGAGTTTGTAAGCCGCTCTGAGACTCTGAGTGAAGGGTGGGGTATAAAGGCAATCTCTTCTTAATTAGGTTCTTATTGCTTAATGCCTAAAATTAAGGGGATAGAAATCATTCAGAAGATGGTAGTATGAATCAGTGAAACAGTTTCACTTTTTGATTTTCTATATGTGTTTTTAACTTCATTCTAATAACAAAAAAGTCATCCCTAAATGTTGATGTGTTACATCCATGATGCTAAATCATGGGTATTTATCATATTTGCAAAATGTTTTTTCAGTTATTTTCAGTGTGTGCAGTTTAAAGCAACTGTTGTTTAGTTCCTCTTTGCAACAACTGTTGTTTTCCCCTTTTCTTATATTTCATTTAGACGACCTCGCTGGAGCACTTCTTTTCATCGCAATCCTTACAATTCCTCTCCTTACAATCTCTATGATGATTACAATGGAGAAAGGCAGAATCCACCAGTGGAAATACCTATGGACTCCGTGCGGATTCAGTCTCCTGCTGCTGAGTACAGTCCAAGAGTTTTTGCGTTTGAGACATCCAATTCAAATCCATATGAAGATTCACATGGTATGTTATTGAATCACATACATCTTAATTATACAAATGCAGATTGTTTGGAGGCTTCTGTTGCAGAATGTCTAGTTCTCATGCTACAGGGCTTGTTATAAAAAATCCTCTCTGTGTTTTTGTGCACACGTGTGTGCGTGCGTGTTTTTCCTTTGTTAAAAGCTTGGAAGCCGTGGGTGGCAAGGGAGAGCTTTTGCTGCTGGGCTGCGTGTGTGTTCACACATGCATAAGTCACCTGAACTCAGCTGCCGACTAGTTGTGCGGTGGTTAACCTGTATTTGGGCTGCACTTCTTTTCAGTTTGCAGGTGAGAGCTTGCATAATTAAGAGACCAGTTCTAAGCAGATGTTCTCAGAATCCTGCTCACGTCTGGGGATTGTTCCCAGAAGAGTGTTCTTAGATGGCAACCTAAATGATCTTCCATCCACACATCCCTCCATGCCTATAATAAACCTACACAGCAGGGAGACACCTTCTAACCCAGTGATGGCAAACCTTTTAGAGACCGAGTGTCCAAACTGCGGCCCAAAACCCACTTATTTATCGCAAAGTGCCAACACGGCAATTTAACCTGAATACTGAGGTTTTACTTTAGAAAAACAACTCCTACATTAATTTAAGATGATCCAAACAAAGTAAGGAAAGCAATCCCAAATGCTTTCATTGACTTAAAATTATTTGGCAGAGAATTCGACACTTTAATGATGGTCTGGGCCTGGCTGGGGTGATGGCACGCGTGCCCACAGAGAGGGCTCTGAGTGCCACTTCTGGCACCCGTGCCATAGGTTCGCCACCACTGTTCTAGCCTATCCTTCTCCCTGACATTCTAGTTTTCTGTGTGGAAGGATTTTTTTTTGTATGGCAGGAACATTCAGTTTTGTGAATCCCCCCCCCCTTGCAATCTCAGACTGTAGACTGAGGTTAAGTGCTTCAATGAGAACGAAGCCCCTGGATCGAAGCACTTCTGTCCAAAGTGCTTGTCCCATTGCTCCCAAAGAGGATCTAAAATCATACAGGTAATACCTTTTATGATGGACCAAATTGGCTAAGGTGCCTATAAAGCCTACACTGTCTGCTGTCCTCAGACTCATCATTACACCAGCCTGTTGTATCAAACAAGACTTGTGCATTAATCCAACAGCCAGCTTAGAACCAGGTTGTAAATACTATCTGAACACACGTCTTCCACAACTCCAAAATGTACCTTTGAGATCTGTAGCTTCTTTACTTCCTGACTCCTGTTTTGTTTTTCTTTCTTTGGTGTGAGTGACTTTGCACTGGGGGAGGGGGGGGAGTGGCAGAGTTAATGAGGAAATCAGCTCTTTTAAAAAGGGATTTTATGAGGAATAGAGCTGAAATGCAAGTTGTCCTGTCTAGTGGTCCACACTGGCACTCAGGACTACATTTATTTTGGAATATAGCCCATGCCATCTACAAACATCTACAGCCTTGTTATTCTGCCAGTAAACCTGCATTGTATTCTTTAGTTTAATGATACTGCTCTTACAGCCAATTCGGCTCTGAACAGTGTCACACTAGACTAAAAAAAGAAGGAAATCTATTTAATACATGTGTCTATATAATATAATGCTGCATTGTATTGACTACAGGAAGCACCATGTGTTCTGTTTCCCCCCCCCTTACAGTGAATCCTTCATTTGACTATGAATCAGAATTTCCATACATGTTACCCACTTCCGGTGATACCTTTAACGATCATTATGCACACAGATCTGATACACCAGATGGAGGTAAGACTACAAGGGATAAATATCTTACAGCACTGTTGAATGTTGAGTTACAAAAATATTATGGAAGAATAACATTAAAAATGATGTACCTGATTGGAAATAGTTTCATAAATAATATATATTCAAAGAAGTGTTCTTTTCCCCCCTGAGGAAGTGGACATGAGTATTTTTTCTGGAATAAAAGGTAGTTAGTTCCATAAGAATCCTCTCTCTCTTTAACAATACACTTATGAAGCTTTTAGGCTCGTGAAAAGATGCTCTGTTTAATTCCTCAGCTAGTGCCGTTCAGCAGCGTAGCCGGCAAGAAGTGGATATGGCCTTCCTGGCACCTTCTAGCCTCCGTCAGCTGGACCCCGGATATGATGAAGAGAAGCAAAAGCAAGGTGAACGAGTGCTTCCTTTTCACTTCATCTGCTGAAGAAATGTTGCTCTCCCCTCCCCCGAGTTCTTTGACAAGGGGCTCATGGGCATACGTCTCTCAAACCCAGCATGGGGTAGTGGTGGGCTAGGATCTAGGAGACCGGGGCTCAGATCCACACGCTGCAGGGCCAGCCTCAGCTTATTTTGCACCCTAGGTGAGGATCCCTTCTGGCGCCCCCCCCCCCCCCGTGCGCCCACCATGGCTCTGACCTGTTAATTGGATCTGTACCCCGGACCTCCCGTTCCCCTGGCACCCATGCTCTTAACACTCACTTTTCCTTTTGTAACTTTGCCTGCTTTGCACATCTGGCTTCCATCGAGGAAGACTCTGCAAAGAAAGGCACTCGCAGTCGCAAACAACCTCTGCTTCTCACTTGCCTTGACAGTTCCTTGCTGGGGTTGCCATAAGTCAGTTGCAACTTGAGTGTCCTTATGTAATAGCCCCCTACTTAGATTCTTCTTTGACTCAGCTGAGTGACCCTTCTGTGCCCAGAGGGCTAAGTTCTTTGGTAGAATTGGTGTTTGTATCATCAGAAAGATCATAACATGTTTAAAACTCAGTAGTGTTTGCAGCTGAACCAGGACAGTGGAGGGGTGTGTGTGCCAGTTTGGCGCCCCTAAGGGTTGGCGCACTCTAGGCGAGCGCCTAGTTCGCCTAGTGAGTGAGCCGGCCCTGACAAGCTGCCATGAACGTGTGAAGTTGCCTGGTACCGAATCAGACCATCGAGGTCAGTGTTCTTTACTCAGACTGGCAGTTGTTCTCCAGGGTCTCCGACTGAGGTCTTTCACCTCACTTACTGTCTGGCCCTTTGAACTGGAGATGCTGGGGATTGAACCTGGGATCTTCTGCGTGCCAAGCAGAGGCTCTGCCACTTAGCCACAGCCCTTCCCACCATGAAGCTTGCCTGATGACCTTAGGCTAGTGACTCTCAGCATCACCAATCTTACAGGTTTACCAGTCTCACAGGTTCACAGATGAAGTGAAAGAAGGTAAAACAGGCCGCCCTGACCTCCTTAGAAGAAGCAGGAGATTAAAATGTACTGTTTTGAAGTGTCGGGAGTTTGCCTGTCAAATGAGGCTTTCTGCCACTGATGCATTATGATATATTTTTACTTTAGAACCAGAAACGGTGTTGGAAGTTCCAGATGCGATGCCCCCGGTCTCAGACCTCCAGACTGAGTGGCAAGAGAGACTAAGATAGCTAGACAGGCAAACGGACCTTTCTTCCTTTATCTACGCATCTGCCACTGTCCTCTTTGATATGCAGATCGTGATCTCAGGGGCCAATTTCCCTTTCCTGCTTCTCTCTCACTCTGAATGAAGACTTGCTCTCTACCTGCACGGGCCAAGAGAGGGACAGGCCGTCCTCCCTTGGCTCCATGAGGCAGATGGGCCTCCCGCCTTCTGCCTCCATCCTTTAGCTAGTAAGTTAGTAATCTATCAGTCTCTGCTCTTTCCTATCCAAAGTGTACTTCTCAAATAAAGAGAGAAGTATTTCTCTTTTAAACTTGCAATGTGGCTCTGTGCAGCTTTGTAAGCTGAGTAACCTGGTAAAGTGAGGCTCCTGCGTCTGTAGCTTTATTTAAGCACTCTGCTAACTAATGGTTACTGGCAGGGGTCATTTCCTGCGGGAGTGCACAGGAGCGGAGTTCCGGCAGTAAGGAGCCCAGGGGGTGGACACATGCAACAAGCCCCGCCCCCTGCTTCCAGCAGTCCTCAGTTGGGCCACAAGGAGCAAGAAGCAGCCAGGTAAATTGCAGAGCCCCCCCCCCCCGGCCTGCCCTCAGGTAAAAGCTCTCCCAGGGCGGATCTGCACGTCCCCCCCCAACAGCTAGCAATCCAAAACAGTCCAGTGGAGCCTGAGTGGTGGGTGTTGCCTTCTGACACGCTTCCGGTGATGTCAGGGGGTGTGGCATATGCAAATAAATTATGCTAATAAGTTATGCTATTGAGCTCGTGCACCTCTTTTTCTAAGAAAGGACCCCTGCTTACTGGACTAACCACACCAGTTAACCTAAATAAAACGGCTGTCTTTCATCAGCTAGGATATCACTTGTTGGAGAAGCAGAGGACAAGGGAGTTCAGTGGCCACTAGAGGGTGCTCTGCCCAAAACTTGGAGCTGTCTCGATCTGGATCAAATATGGCATGTCCTTTACTGAAAGACCTAGAAGGAATGTCTGATAGATACTGGTACTAGTACCTCAGAACAATTTGAGTTTGGATCTGCTTCTGGAATGTTTGAAAAATGCCAGTGCTGAATTTCCCGTTCTCCCATTCTCTCTCAGCTTGTAACCGATAATTCTGCATCACCTAATAGCAAGTTGTGGTTTTGTGGAGTATTGATGTCCTTCTTTGTCACATTTCACCCCCTAGTGTTGCTGTCTGCTGTTGTTTAGTTGCGTCTTTATCCCACCCTTTCTCCAGGGAGCTCAGGGCGGCCTGTGTGGTTCTCTCCCATCATGCCCTCCAGTACAACGTCTTGTTGTTACCCACATATTTTAACTTTCCACCCCAGTTTTAGTTTTCACAGTTACATTCTGGAGATGATAGATAACAGCAGGGCTATTTTTGGGCAGGAACGCACAGGAATGGAGTTCCGGCTGGCTTCAGAGTTGGCCACGCCCACTACAGCCAAAACCTCTGCGTGCGTGGCTACAGAGGGCAGGCCTAGAGAGCGACTCCAAGGGGGTGCCCGGGCAAGCCAAGGGAAGGCATGGGGGTGTGGCCTAATATGCTAATGAGTTTCTGCTGTTGGGTGTGGCCCATTATGCTATTGATTTCCTGCTGGGCCTTTTCTACAAAAAAGCCGTGGATAACAGCAATACTATTTCATACTACTACTACTTGAATGTTTTGGGGTTTTTTATGCAGAAGAAAAACTAATCCAAAGTCTTGCAAGCTTGTCTGCCTGGGAAAGAGAAAAAAAGAAAGAGTCAAAGCAATCCAGAAGATCCCAAAAACTATGAAAGAAAAGAGAGAACTCAGGTAGAAGCACATTGCATTTTGATGTTTTGTAAGTGCTTTGGGCGTGCCTAGGTTGGAACGGTTGGCTAATAACATTTTAAAGTAATGTTTTTTTTTTGAGAATTTAAAAAAATGTAAGCATGCACGTTCTTTCTGTAGCAATTTTACCAACATTTACTGAGGTCCCCATCTTGCTGCCTCTGCATCCCGATATAGAATAATTAGAAAAGAAACATGTCTTTAACGTTAATTAATTAAATACAAAATAGTGGGTTGGACCCAAGCAGCTCTTTTGGGGGGTAATAAGAGAAAAATTGGTTTAAGTCAGAGTTCCCCAGCGTGGCACCCAGAGCGCCCACCAGCACCTCTCCTGGAGCCTGCGAAATGTTGTTAGAAAGAAACTGGGGCTCGGTGGGGCTTAGCAGAGGAGGGATCTTCCCCAAGATCTTCTCTGCGTGACTCTTCCAGTGTGTGTACACAAGGAAGTATTTTAAATAATATCTTCATTTTAAAAGGCATCCTGTTAATCAGAACTTCTACCTGAGATATTGAAGGGCTCCTTTTAGAGTTATGCATAGCCTCACTTGCTTCTGTTTTGTGGCTGGCTCCCCATCCCGTGGCAGCCGTTTCGTGGTTGTGCCCACTGTCCAGTGTCAGAATGCCGAAAGTGCCTATCGGCTCAAAAAGGTTGGGGACACCTGGTTGAAGACCTTTCAGGGCCCAAATGTAATTTACGTGGACCCAGTACAAACTCAGACTGGGGGCTTCCCCTCCTCAGATTCCAATACATACGTATTTTATCATGCATTAATAAAACTTCCAGGAAAAAAGGCTAAATTCAGTCTTGGGTTGTATTAAAAGGGCCATAGCATCGAAATTGCAGGAGGTCATAGCCCCTCTGTACACTGCCTTCGTCAGGCTGCACCTGGAATACTGTGTGCAGTTCTGGAGGCCTCACTTCAAAAAGGAACTGGACAAAATCGAGTGGGTGCAGAAGAGAGAAAGACGAGGATGATCAGGGGTCTGGAGACTGAGCCCTACGAGGAAAGGTTAAGGGCCTTGGGGATGTTTAGTTTGGAGAAGTGGAGGTTGAGGGGGTGGACATGATTGCTCTCTTTAAATATTTGAAAGGCTGTCATTTGGAGGAGGGCAAGGAGCTGTTTCAGTTGGCAGCAGAGGATAGGACCCGAAGCAATGGGTATAAGTTACATGCAGAAAGGTATCGGCTGGATATTAGGAAAAACTTTTTCACGGTCAGAGTGGTTCAGAGGTGGAATCAGCTGCCTAGGGAGGTGGTGAGCTCCCCTTCACTGACAGCTTTCAAGAAGAGGCTGGACAAATATTTGTCAGGGATGCTTTAGGCTGGTCCTGCATTGGGCAGGGGGTTGGACAAGATGCTCTGTATGGCCCAGCTCTATGATTCTATAAAAAAAGAAACAATTATTTTTTTAATTTCTGAAGTGTCATAAATATACCTTATCACAATACTGAGCTTACAGACCAGGCCAAAGCTCTCCTGAACTCTCCTACTCCCGTAAAGGGAATCCATCCTCTCCCTACCCCCACCTCGCCCTCACGATCGGGCTCTGGTGAGGCTGCACGCATGGCAAGTGAAACACGGGGTTCCCCTTCCTGGTGTTTCTCTTGCTGATCTAATGAGGGGGTAGGAGGATTATGTTTCAGGAGTTCTTCCTTGGTGCAGAGAAAAACGGGGAGAATTAATGGGAAAGGTGAAACTTTCCTCCTACCTTCTGATCTTACACAAGGGGCGCTCTTATCTATTCTTGCACGAGCATTACCCAACAGAGGGTGATTTCCCACAAGCGCTGCTCCGCGCTCGCTCCTCCCTTTTGCCCCGATGGTACGTGTCAATTTCACACAAGCTGCTGCGCGGCCGCATTTTGCCCTGCGGCTTCGTGCGATTTTCCCCACCTCTACTCAGTCCTCAAAAAACAGGATTGAGTAGACGCGGGGAGAATCGCACGAAGCTGCGGGCCAAAATGTGGTCGAATTGACACGTACCATCGGGGCAAAAGGGAGGAGTGAGCACGGAGCAGCGCTTGTGGGAAATCACCCAGAGACTTACTTGGGAAACACACGTTCGTTGTTGAAGGTACTGCTCTGCATGATATAAGCAGAGAATGCAATCAGACGCAAGCAACGGAGCCTGGAAACGTCCAGTTAATTTTAATGTATCCCGCACATTACTTTTTACTCCTCAACAGGGATCACGTTCTTACGGAGAAAACAAAGGCCCGCAACCGGGATGCCCAGATTAACTGTTGTGCCCAGTGCTTCTACAACACAGCTTTGGTAAGTGTAGCACACGTTACATTCATCAAGGAAGAAGAAGCATTTAAGTGAGGATTTCCTAACAAACAAATCGCCATGCAGTGTCACTGCTTCTGTGTTGGCTCATTCAAAGTAAAGGAATTTTCTTCTTTATGAGCCATTAAGAAGTCTGTGAAGTTGGCAGTGTTAAAAGTAAGTGCTCAGTTACGTAAAATAAAGCTGCATAAGGGCCACGTGGTAGAGCCCTCATTGCCCTTAAGTACCTATGCTTACCTTTTCTGGCCCTGGGAGAACAGGTTTCGTGGTGCAGGGAGGGGTGTAGCTTATTGGTTACATGTTGAGTATTTCTTGTGTGTGTATTGTAGGTGTGTATATGCCTGGAAGTCATGGTTGACTTCTGGCGACCCCTAGTGGGGCTTCAGAGAGGTGGCTTATTATTGCCTGCCTCTGCGTCCCAGCCCTGGAATTCCTTGGAGGTCTCCCTTGCTTCCAAGTACTTGCCAGGGTCGGCCCTGCTTAGCTTCCGAGATCTGACGAGATCGGACTCGCCTGGGCTATCCAGGTCAGGGCACTTGTTGGTTACATTTTGTTATAAAGGTAAAGGTTCCCTTGCTCGAAAGCCAGTCGAGTCCGACTCTAGGGTTGCGGTGCTCATCTCCGTTTCAAAGCCGAAGAGCCAGCGCTGTCCAAAGATGTTTCCGTGGTCATGTGGCCGGCATGACTAAACACCAAGGTGCACGGAACACTGTTACCTTCCCACCGAAGTGGTACCTATTTATCTACTTGCAATTTCTTGCTTTCGAACTGCTAGGTTGGCAGGAGCTGGAACTAGAGACGGGAGCTCACTCCGTCATGCGGCACCCGGGTCTCGAACTGCTGAACTGCTGACCTTCCACAGACTGCAGTTCAGCGTCTTAACCACTTGAGCCACCGCAGCTCCTACATTTTGTTATACTGGCCTGTTATTCTACCATTCCCCTAAGCAAAGGAGGGATGGCCATTTGGTAGAAATACTCTGGCCATCCCTCCTTTGGATTTCCTGCATTGAGCAGGAGGTTGGAGTACGTGCCTCATGAAGCCCCTTGCAACTGTAGCCATACAATCCGAAGCAGAATTACGGGTTTAGGAGGGTGTAAGACTGCTTTGGAATGTAGTTTAGGACTCTCTGAGTGAAGAGATACTTCCTTTTGTCTTCCCTTTATCGGTGGCACAATAGCAACAAAGGGTACTGTTAAGATATCATGTGGGGTATAAATAAACAGTATTCTTATAAAGTTGTGCTTTGTGAGGGTGACATTGTGATAACAGCAATCGCTCCTTTAGCTCAAGAGGTTTCTAGATAGTCAAGGATTTTCTGCTGTCTCTGGTCATTCATTGAATCAGTCTAAAAATGCAGGGATAAGTTTTGTTAATTATGAGACAGGTCTCTTAACTCAGTGCTCCCTGGAAAGATCTGTACTTTAAAGACTTGTGTGTAGATGTGTCAAACAATCATTTGGGAAAAGCAATGACAAACAAATTAAATTTGGAAGCACGGGCCGGAGAGTGAAGATAGCTTTTCCAGCAAATTGAAGGTGATACAGAAGAGGGTTGACTGCTTACATTCTCATCCAACTCTGAGTTCTGGGAAACAGGTTTTGCGTATGTCTGTATTGTCTGATCAGAGAAGACAGTGAGACGAAAAGATATCTGTGTGTACTCACCGTCACCCAGGGAACCTCCCTCAAACCATTTTCAGCCCTCCTAAAAACTGTCATCTGTCTGACTTCATCTTGATGGGGTGGAGAAGATGGGCGCAGTACGAGCCATTGCCTTGGGCGTGTTGCCAGAACCTGTGTTGGATCTAGCCAGCTTTTCTTGCTCAGTGTCACTTAATTCTTCTCTTTCCTGCAGCCCCTGTCCCATGTGGCTTTTGTCCATGCAAGTCCCAAGATCTCCAGCATAGCCTCTTTGGACGATGGGGATTTTTACCAGCAAAAAAGCTAGTTGGATTCAACCCGTAATAATATTTTTGTTGAAAGTCTCACTGACCTTTTTCTGATTAGTCAAAAATGTGTGAGAAAACGATCTCTCAGTTTATCTGGGCGGGGGTGGGTGGGGTGGAAAACATGACTCCTGGTGTCTTCAGGAATTCAACAGAATCTTATGAACTGTGCTTGTGATCTGTGATAAGGATTCCCTGGGCTACGTGCCTCTCAGCAGCAAGGGGTTAGTTTTAAACCTAAAGGACACCCAGCTGGAAAAGGCAGGTGTAATTCTAGTAAAGGGTTTTTTTTGCAGGACACTATAATATCAACCATCTAATAGGAAAGATAAATAATCCATTTAGACACATGGGTTACTTTCCGGAAACATAGTTGGGTAATGCAGTGAGTCCAAGTCCCAATGCTGGTTTGCCGGTCAAAACATTTTCATGCCAGTTCTCAGTAAAAGACCTCTGAAGCAGCTTAGAAAATGAAATCCCACTTTCAAACTGTGGCATACAACATAACCTATAAAATCATAATTCAACAGCAAGTTAAAGTGTCTGGTAGTTAAAAGATTAAATAAAAAAACCTGTAAAGCAATGTAAGCCAGAAATGAAGCCAAAAGAGGCAAATAAATCCACATAATATAGCCACCAATAAAGCAACCCAAACCATAATCAGATGCTATACTAACTGAAGGGGTCCATGTTTTTGTCTAATCTGGGAGAACCGGGTTTGATTCCCCACTCCTCCACTTGTACCTGGCTGGGTGACCTTGGGCAAGCCGAAGCTCTGATAAGAGCTGTCCTTGAAAAACAGCAGTTTGTGTCAGAGCTCTCTCAGCCCCACCTACCTCACAGGGTGTCTGTTGTGGGGAGGGGAAGGGAAAGGAGTTTGTAAGACGCGCTGAGACACCTTTGGGTAGTGAAGAGCGGGGTACTAATCCAATCTCTTCTTCTCCTTCTCCCTTCCATCCTCTTCTAGTCCTTTCGGCAGTTAAAAAATGGCTTGTCAGAATGTTTTCAGTTCTTCCACCTTTGGCAGAAGACTCTCAAGGTTATCGGCAGCCAATTTGGGACCAGCGTCTGCTCTTACTTTGTTTTCCTCACGTGGCTCCTGATGTTCAACATTTTCTCGTTCCTTGTGAACTTCAGCTTTATCACAGTCCCTCAGCTCCTTGAAGCCAAAGCAAATAACCTTTCGTTCACAGGGCTGGAGTTTTTCACAGGAGCCGTAAGTGTGCACTTTTCTTTTCTTTTTTTGAAAGCGGATCTGATGTGGGCTTCCTCTCCCACCCATTAAATCATCCTAGTACTATGCAGAGCTGTTCTTCTGACTTTGATCTAGAGGTGTGATAAGAAGAGAGTATCCATCCCTGTTTGCCTCTTTATGCCGGGACAAGAGGGAGAGGCCATTTGCAGGGGGGAAATGGGCCGTGGTGGTGGGGGAACATGAGTGCTTAACTCTTCCCCCTTACCTGCCAGGAGACAGGGAGAAACTGACCAAAGGGCAAAGATCTTCCCAATCAGGAATCTCTGCACTCTAGACTAGAGGTGTCAAATTCATTCGTTATGAGAGCCGGATCTGACGTAAATGTCACTTTGTCAGGCTGGCCCTTGTGTACCATAAAATGTAAAGCCAGGTACTGGAGATGTGAACTTTATAAAGGATGGCAGCTGGTAAGCTCCAAGCTGGTGTGTGCTCGTTGCAAGGCCTCATGGGTCGGGAGGGGGGTGCAGAGGAATACCCACACGGGCAGACCGGAGAGCCAGCAGTGCAGTGCTGGGCAGATGCTCCCATGCTGCCTGGGGGGGGGGGGCAAACCCCTCCTTCAGCTGACTCCTGCCACCAGGGCCCCAGGGTTAAACACAAAGTGGATGGGTGGTTTGCAAGGTCCCCTCTGCCCCCGAGCCACGATGGAAGGTGGCTTGAACTAACCCCCCCACCCACCCACAGAAGTGGCGGGTGGCAGCCCAGGTTCAAGGCGACGTCTGCAGCGGGACCCAGGCCAAGCAAAGCCTGATAAGCCGGAGGTGCCCCTGCGGCAGCATCCGCCTCCGGCCATGGCCACCAGGTGAGCTGGGTGTTCAAGCCAGAGATCATCAGCAAGCTGTGCCACCTCGATGCGGCGGCGGCAGCCGTCTCAGGCCAAAGTCCACCAGATCATCTGATGGGGGAGCAGGCACCACGCGCACAAGGCCACGTGTGTGGCAGAGGCCCCAGGCCAACCAGTGAGAACTAGAGGGTGCATGAGGTGGCAGCTGCCTAAGACTAAAGGCTGCTGGGTGGTCCATGGGGGAGGGAGGCCTGGCTGCTGAGTCTGGTCCTTGGTGGCAGGTCTAGGCCCCCCGATGTGTGGAAGAAGCTGCCATGGCCAAAGCATAGCTGCCTCATGGGAGGGGGGATGAATATAGCAACGGAGCTGGCTGCCAGCAGCCCCCAACAGAGAATCATCTGAGGATCACCCTCCACGTGCAAACGCTGATCCCTGCTGCCACCTGAGGCAGCACCCCTGGAGTTGCAGGCCAAGTGGAGAGTTGGCCCATGGCTATGGTAGGGCTATTGGGGGGGGGGGGGGGCACCCCCCACATGGGGAGGGAAGGGCTTTGGGGGGGGGGGGGTTCAGCCTTAAAGGGACAGCCCCACAAGATTTCCCTTCTCCCTTGCTGGCAGCGTCTTCTCCCTGCTTGCTAGCAGGAAGAAGACTCCGCAGCCAGCAACGGAGGCCACCCAGCCGCCACCTCGAGAGAAATCAAGCGGGCCGCTGTGGTGCGACTCCAGAGAGGGGGTTTAAAGTTGAAACCCCCTCTCTGCTCAGCTGGCTGATGGGGGAAGAGGGGGGGGGCAGCCGTGTGGCCTCCTTGTCAACCGAGTCTTCTTCCTGCTAGCAAGAAGGGAGAAGACTCTGCAGGCAAGAGGCAGAAAGAAGACTCTGTAGCCAGTAACGGAGGCCGCGCAGGCGCCCCCTCTCTTCCCCCACCAGCCAGCTGAGCAGAGAGGGGGTTTAAACTTTAAACCCTCTCTCTGGAGTCGCACCGCAGTGGAGAAATCGTGCTGCTGCTGCAGGGGGAAGACGGGGAGGCACAATTAACCCTCACAGGGTTTAATTTTTTATTTTAGATTAAGGCACCCAGCAGCCCCTCCAGAACCCCGAAGCCCCCCAGCAGCACTCCAAAGCATTTGCTTTGCACATGCATGCATTGCTTTTCGTTCTTTCCTTGTAAGAAGTGACACTGATACAGCTGCAGCATTACTAGTTGAGCATGCGATAGATGCTTTTGGCATAGAACAAAACAGGAAGTTCCTTGGCAGTAGGAGGATCTTTGGGTTAATGAACCCCAAGAGCCAGGTTCCAGTCCAGGGGCATCTTAAAGACCAACCAGATTTCCAGAACACACACTTTCAAGACATTTCCATTTGTCAGATACTAGACTTGAATCTTGCTCTTCCTCTGCAGACCAACACGGCCACGTGAAACTCATGATCCCCAAGGAGTTCTCTAACTTCTGTATCCTATCTATTATTTCAGGGCTATTTTACAGAAACGGTGCTCTACTACGGGTTTTATGCCAATGGTACAATCTCAGAAAATAAGAGCAGTTCTCCGTATAACATGCAGCTGGCCTATATTTTCACAATAGGTGTTTATTTTGTCCTCTGCTTCCTGAGCTTGCTGTACAGGTATGTTTGCTTATGTTCCTCTTTTGTTTAAAAGTGAAATGTTTTTTTAATCATTGTGGGGGGAAACAGCTAATTTGTAGAGTATTATTTACTATTAAAACAATTCTGGATCCCTTGTTTAGGCAGGCTGTGCTTCATTTGCTGCTAAGGTCAGAAAGGAAATATATCCTGCCAAAGTCTCAGGGTGACAAGTGGAGAACATTACGCAGAAATGCATGCAACAAAGCCATGTATTAAAGGATGTTAAAGGCTTTCCCACCTTTTCATCTTCCTGGCTTCTAAGTTTCTGTTTCGATTGCGAACCTAAACAGCATGATAAAAAGTAGAGACATCAGCCTGCCAACAAAAGTCCCATGGTCAAAGCAATGGTATTCCCAGTAGTCATGTATGGCTGCGAGAGAGTTGGACTATAAGGAAGGCTGAGCGCCGAAGAATGGATTATTTTGAACTGTGGTGCTGGAGAAGACTCTTGAGAGTCCCTTGGACTGCAAGAAGAACAAATCAGTCAATCCTAAAAGAAATCAACCCTAACTGTTCCCTGGAAGGCCAGATAATGAAACCGGAGCTCAAATACTTTGGCCACCAAATGAGAAGGGAGCACTCACTGGAGAAGACCCTGATGCTGGGAAAGACTGAAGGTCAAAGAAGACGGGGACGGCAAAGGATGAGATGGTTAGACAGTGTCACCGATGCAACGAACATGAAGTTGAGCCAACTTCAGAGGACGGTGGAAGACAGGAAGGCCTGGTGGGATCTGGTCCATGGGGTCACAAAGAGTCGGACTCGACTGTGCGACTGAACAACAAGTCGTCAATTTGATATCACAGTGGTTTATTTCCAGCATAAAAACCTGCAGTTTAAATCTGCATGGAGATATGCTGGAAATAAACTAGTGTAATATCAGATTGGCCACTAGAGGGAGCAAAACACATGTGGAACAGAAACACACACACACACTTGAAGGAATAGGAACTTAAAAGCGAGGAAATAGGAGCATCCAGGGAAGCCCTAGGTTGCAAGGTGCATTTTGAGCCACAAAGTGGCAGAGTGTGTGTGCTTAACCCTTCCCTCACAAACCGTTTTCTGTTTCAAATATTCTCCTAGCTGTTTTTCTTATGCAAGACTCCAGATAGACCCCTGCAAGTGAAGAAGCACATCTGGAAAAGCACCTGTGGTGGTGGGGGAACAGTTTAGATTGGAATAACAGGTGGAAGGGTTAAGAGGACGTCCTGCAGATGCATGTCTGCACTGCTTCTGTGCTCAGAATCATTCCCTTCCAAATCTGCTTTTCATTTACAAAAAAAGGAAGAAATTTCAGAAACGGGTCACAGTTTCTGTTTAGGAAGTTCTCCATCATTTGTCAAAAATGGTTGCCTTAATCTTAATCTTAATTTTCTCTTTCCCCTTCAGTAGCATTTCCCTTTTGTATTCTGTTCTCACAACAGCATGGCAAAGTCCTTCCGCAGGAACTTCATTAATCCTTCGATGTACTCTGGGAATGCTGCCAAACTTCTCTGCGTCTGGGACTTCAGTGTGACCAGTGAGAAAGCCGTGAAGCTGAAACAGAGAAACCTCAGTACTCAAATGAAGGTATGGAATGAAAAGTGTGTTTAAAAAAGAAATCCCTGAATAATCCCTGTTCTCTTGAATGACATTTTGTATGACAGAGACACTTTGCGCACGGTAGTTTTCCCTGGGATTTTTTTATTGTTATACAGGCCCGTAATTTTTTTTAGAAAAAAGCTGTCTAATGGGTTTACCATGAATCTCCCCCCCCCCCCCAGGGAGCAGAGATAATGTCCGTAAACCCTTAGGATCTATTGTATGTTTTCTCTTTTCTTATAAGCTGTGTGCCAAGAAGACCTGACAATGATGGTTCCTCTTACAGCCACTTTTCCTGGTCGCTCTGATGATTGGTGGCAGAAAGTTCTTCCCCCCCATAAACTATTGCATTGGCTCAGAGCCTGAGCAAATAACACCGAAATGCCAAAAACAACATCAAAACCATAATACAGCAGTTGCAGCAATAATTAAACTCTTAATACCTGTTAAAAAGGTAAAGGTTCCCTTGCTCGAAAGCCAGTCGAATCCGACTCTAGGGTTGCGGTGCTCATCTCCGTTTCAAAGCCAAAGAGCCAGCGCTGTCCGAAGACGTTTCCGTGGTCATGTGGCCGGCATGACTAAACACCAAGGTGCACGGAACGCTGTTACCTTCCCACCGAAGTGGTCCCTATTTATCTACTTGCAATGTCTTGCTTTCGAACTGCTAGGTTGGCAGGAGCTGGAACTAGAGACGGGAGCTCACTCCATCATGCGGCACACTGGGGTCTCGAACTGCTGAAATACAGACCTTCCACAGCCTGCAGTTCAGCGTCTTAACCACTTGAGCCACCGCAGCTCCTTTATTTAATACCTGTTACAGATCTATAAGCAGTTTTAAAATCGTGACAGCAACACTTTAAGTTTAAAACAAGAATTCAAGAATTCAGTCAGACAACATAATGCAAGTACCATCCAGTTACGAATGATTTGTGCCCACCTGTAGGGGTTTCAAGGCAAGGGACAGTCAGAGAGGGTTTGCCGTGGCCTGCCCCTGCATAGCAACACTGGGCTTCCTTGGCGGTCTGTTGTCCAGATACTAACTAGGGCCGGCCCTGCTTGGCTTCTGAGATCGGGCTAGCCTGGCCTGGGCCATCCAGGTCAGGGCTATTATAGGGTTGCCAGCCTCCTGGTGGGGCCTGGGGATCTCCCGCTTTGGCAACTGATCTCCAGCTGACAGAGATCAGCTCCCCTGGAGGAATTGGCTGCTCTGAAGGGTGGACTCTCGGGGATTGTACCATGTTGAGGCCCCTCCCCTCCCCAGACCCCGCCCTCCCCTGGCTCCACCCCCAAAGTCTCCAGGTATTTCCCAACCCAGACCTGGCGACCCTAGTTGATTACCATCTTCTAAATCTTCTCTAGGGATATATAACAAAAGGACTATGGTAGTCAAATCGATGTCAGTGGCACAGAAACTTTGTGATAAAGGGTTGGCTTCAGTGGAAGAGTTAACAGAAGCAGTCCGTGAAGTGACTTTCCCCCACCTTTGCTAAGCGTCATGAAACTGCTCTGTGAGGATTGAGAGACAAGCGAAATTCACCCCAGGGTGACAAGTGGGAATTGGATTTAAACTGCCTCTTCATCTCCTTTGTGAGGTTTGCATCAGCAGGGAACGAGGAGTGATAATTTTACCCCATTCCCCATCCTGTCGTGCATTTTGCTGATGAAGCTCTCCCAATGGCTGGGGGGTGTGTGTTTTGGGACAAATGGTGGGGTGCTTGGGGAAAGCGGGGATCGATCCGCTCAGCCAAGTGTGAACTCTGTCAATGCCTCTTCTGGGTCCAACCCAATAACTTGAAGCCAGCCTGATAGATTGGATTGTGTGGAGTTTGACTTTAATTTTTAATGTTAGATATATATGATGATTTTATGATGCGATGGTATTTTAAAACATAATTGTATTACTCTTTTATTGTGTCAGGGGATTGGAGGGGGCTCTTGATTTGTATTTGTGAGGTGACTTGAGGCGGTGAGTCTAAGCGACATGTGAACCGATATCCTGCCTGTACAGTGAATGCTCTTGGGCGGGAGAATGAAATACCTGCTGGCCCTTCAGGTATTTGCTTTAAGTTGCTCATATGAAGAAGGCGCCTTACTTGTTAGAACTGTAACATCATGGCCACTTTTTAATCTGAGGAATGAGGAGTTTTTGGATTAAACCCTCCAGGTGCTGATAAGCCGTTGTTTGATTCCAGGAAACACTCTCTGAAGTGAATACTGAAGTGCTGAAGCTTTCCGTGGGTCAGAGGATTGCAAAGCTCTCTGTTCATCTGGCTGCCTGGCTTGTCTCCTTGGGGGCTGCAGTGGCTTCCTGTGCTGGTATCTACTTCTTCTCCACAGCTAACTTAAAAGTAAGGGCCAGTGATTCCATTCTGTGTACCTATTTCCCCCCCATTCTGTGTTCATGTGTGCTTGTGTAAAGTGCTGTCAAGTCCAGGGCGATTCATGGCGACCCCATCGGGTTTTCAGGCAGAGGTCATTTCGGGGGGGAACGCGGGGGGAACACAGTTCCCCCGGGTGAGGTGCAGGGGGGCGGGGCACATGACGAAGCCCCGCCCCCTGCTTCCGGCTGCCCCGCTTCCAGCCCTCATTCAGCCAGGAGGAGGCAGGAGAAGAGGGAGGGTAAGTTGCTTTCTCCCCGTCTCTCCCCACCCCTGCCTGCCTGGGGCCAGGGAGGGCCTTCGCGGGGCTTCCTCGCACTCCCGCCGGCCTTGCAGGTCCACCGCCGGGCCCCTGATGTCAGGGGGTGTGGCATATGCTAATGAGTTATGCTAATGAGTTCCCCTAGCTCTTTTTCTATGAAATGACCCGTTTTCAGGACAAGAGCTGAGCGGAGGTGGTTGGCCTTTGCCTGCTTCTGCACAGCACTCCTGGACTTTCTGGCTTGTCTTCAGGGCTCTTTTTGTAGCAGGAGCTCCTTTGCCTATTAGGCCACACACCCCTAATGTAGCTAATCCTCCAAGAGCTTACAGAGCTCTTCTTGGTCATTTTGGGGGGGATCGCGGGGGATCGCAGTTCCCCCGGGTGAGGTATGGGGGCGGTGCACATGACGAAGCCCCGCCCCCTGCTTCCGGCCGCCCCGCTTCCGGCCCTCATTCAGCCAGGAGGAGGCAGGAGAAGAGGGAGGGTAAGTTGCTTCCTCCCTGCCTCTCCACACCCCTGCCTGCCTGGGGCCAGGGAGGGCCTTCGCGGGGCTTCCTTGCACTCCCGCCGGCCTTGCAGGTCCACCGCCGGGCCCCTCATGGGGCTCGGCAGTGGAGCTGCAAGGCCGGCACCGGCGGCCGGGACCGTTGGGGGCGGGGTGTGTGGCCTTATGACACACTTCCGGTGATGTCAGGGGGTGTGGCATATGCTAATGAGTTATGCTAATGAGTTCCCCTAGCTCTTTTTCTATGAAACGACCCCTGAGCGTAGGGCCTGTATTGCTCTCGTGTTGGCAGCCATTTTGTTTCTGCACCCACCATGCCATGTCAGAATTCCAAATGTGCATGCAGGCTCAGAAAGGTTGGGGACCCCCGTTTTAAACTGTACTGCCCCCCCCTCCATTTACCTGTGATTGAAGCAGACCGGCTTTTAAAGGCATGGTTCTGCGTCCTCATCTGGTGTCCTTACCATCTGGCATACTATCCGGCGTACTTACCATTACCCAGTGGCTTGACCTTATGAGTGGAGTGGATTCTGTTAAGTTCTGGCTGCACAAGTTTTGTTTCTATAATAAATGTGTCAGTAACTTAAATCATTGCCAAGAAACAAAAGGGAATTGACTGCAGGTTGGTTTTCGTCCCCCCCACCCCCGGTCTCTTTGTAGCTGTTTCTGAAAGATGATCAAACAGAGCTGGAAAGCGAAGCTGTCACACTGGTCTTGCCTGTCGTTGTCGGCCTGCTCAATCACATGGTGCCTTTCTTCTATTCTTTCCTTGGCTTTTTTGAAAAATTCACGTACCCTAAGCACCAAATCTACACCTCTATTGGCAGGTATGGACTACCTTTCCCTCCCTGTTTTTAATAAAAGGTAGCAAGTGGAAGGTTCATGAATTGGCTTGGGAGGAAGGTCTGACACAGGAACTCCCTAACCTCTGTCCTGGTTGGTTTTGGACATACCCTGGGTTAGAGCCATTCGTAAACTGTTTTAAACCACTGTGGAGAGATTTATAGTATTTGTTTCTCTCCTTACAGAAATCTGACACTTCTTGCAGTAAAGACAAACCATTCCCCCCTCATCCCCAGCACTGGAAATGAAGACTATGGCATCCATGTAATCTGTCCCCTAAGCAAGAAGGGTTGAGTGTAGCTCAGAGTTTAGAACAGACCTTCGCGCAAATTTGGAGTTTAGCAAGTTTAGAACAGAGGGTTTTTTTTGTCAGTGTCTAGGTTCTTCCTTTACTTAATCCTCATAGCTGTTAATTGCTTTGTAGGAATATTATCCTGAAAATATCAATAATTGGGATCCTCTGCTACTACTGGCTTAACATTGTGGCCGCATCAGAAGTACAGGTACGGTTCTGATCTCGTTTCTGTGCGGCTGTGCATCTCAATTAGAGGCACTAATGAGTTTCACAGGGCCACCGTTTCAACTTGGAAGTCCCATTTTTGATTTCCCTACTCCCATGTGGGAATCGAATCCAGGAGTCATAGTTTTTGCACCATGTTCTGTTGGTGCAGAGTTTTTCCTGTTAAATTTACACAGTGTTTAATCTGTGTGTCAGTTGTATAAAATGGCATAAAGTGAGCTATTGATTCAGGAACACAAACAATGAAGGCAATTCAGATGAATAGACTCGTGACAGCCACATATGAAAACAAATCCAGGTGGGCGGCCGTGTTGGTCTGAAGCAGCAGAACAAATTTTGAGTCCAGTGGGGCACCTTGAAGGCCAACAAGATTTTATTCTGGGTATGAGCTTTCATGTCCACACACACTTCTTCAGATACAGTGAAGTAAATATGTCAGCATGGGCAGATGTATCCTTAATTGTGGAATGCTGAAAGCAGTTAACTGAGACCAGGGGTCATTTTGTAGAAAAAGAGGTGCAGGAGCTCATTAGCATAACTCATTAGCATAACTTATTTGCATATGCCACACCCCCTGATGTCACTGGAAGTGTGTCAGAAGGCGACACCCACCGCTCAGGCTCCACTGGACTGTTTTGGATTGCTAGCTGTTGGGGGGGGGGATGTGCAGATCTGTCCTCACGGAGGAGGGAGCGCTTGTACCTGAATAAAACTTGGTCTTAAAGGTGCCACTGGACTGTTTTGGACCGGTGGGCTGGGGGGACCTCTGCAACTTACCTGGCTGCTTCTAGCTCTGACTGAGGGCCGCTGGGAGCAGGGGGTGGGGCTTGTTGCATGTGCCCGCCCCCTGGGCTCTTTACTGCCGGAGCTCCGCTCCTGTGCTCTCCTGCAGGAAATGACCCCTGACTGAGACCCTGCCATTACGCTCCACCCATCTCCTCTCGAGCATTGAGGTGACCTTGCAGCATCTTCTTCTTTGAAGTGGGGCAATTGGCTGTGTAGAGTTATCTCCCCTGTCCCCAGAGCAGAGAAATAAGTTCCAATCTACCATCATACCAATCTACCATTATTGTTATTATTAGATTAGAATAGTAGATTGTAATGTAACATAGTAGAATGTAATGCAGTTTGGAGTGATAGAATGGAATGTAATTTGGAATGGTATTCCACTGGAAAAAACAAAACCCAGTCATAACATAAAAAACTAGGTGTTGGGGAAAGAGAATTTAGGCTATCCTTCTCCCTGAGATGCTTCTTTTTTAGATGTTGCTGTAGCATTTTGAGCATTCCATGACAGGAGCCTCCACCTTCAGTCTGAGGTGGTAAATGGCCCAAGACACTGGTCTACCATGTCCTCTAGTATTTTGTGAGAAATAAACCTCCATTCAGTGCTCCAGCAGGGCCTGAAAAAAATAATCTACCAGGTTTTGGTGACCCTTCTAACATGTCACTTGAGTGAAAATCAGTCTCCAGTTTGGTGTAGAACCAGTTTGGCGTAGCGGTTAAGTGTGCGGACTCTAATCTGGGAGAACCGGGTTTGATTCCCCACGCCTCCACTTGCACCTGCTGATGTGACCTTGGGTCACACACACACATACATAGACCTTTATTGGCATAACACAGCAGCAAAGAGAACAATGAAACAAATAGAAAATAAATAGCACGAAGTAATAGATTATAACAATTTACACCATGCTGCACCAACAAGGAATCGTTTTTATAAACTTCTCGGAAATAATAGACTCAGTTGAGAATAAAGCAATTCTAAAAAATACAACGGGGTTAAGGCTTGTACGCCCCTACCCTAAGCTTCCAAACATAGACTAAGAATTCGGCAACAGACAAAGTAATTGCCGGGGACTTATCAGACAATAAAATTTTAAGATCATTGTCAGTCGGGTTCCTTGTGGTAGGTAAGTGGGGACTAATCAGATAGCTACGCATAGTAGAATATTGAGGACAATGCAGAAGGATATGAGCAACTGAATCAGACCTTGGGTCAGTCACAAGCTCTGGCACAGCTGTCCTTGAAAAAGAGCAGTTTATGTCAGAGTTCTCTCAGCCCCACCCACCTCACAGGGTGTCTGTTGTGGGGAGGGGAAGGGAAAGGCGTTTGTAAGCCGCTCTGAGACTCCAAGGGAAGGGGGGGGTATAAATCCAATCTCTTCTTCTTCTTCTTCTTCTTCTTCTTCTTCTTCCTCCTCCTCCTCCTCCTCCTCCTCCTCCTCCTTCTTCTTCTTCTTCTTCTTCTTCTCTCCCCGGGAATCCTACAGTTGGCCATATGGTCCACTAGGGGAGTCATATGGCTTATGCAGGTGCCACATAGCCTGTGCTGAATCAAATACACACTTCTCTTCAGTTACACGGGGTCTCTGCTTTTGCTTTCTTAACCTCCCCCCCCATGCTATGTGTCCATAGGAAAGCGCAGCTGCCTGTGTATTTGATGACTTTTCCTATCCCTGCCAATTTTTTTTGAACTAGTGCTGGGAAACCCTGGTTGGCCAAGATATATACAGGCTCATCATTGCTGAATTCATCTGTTGCTTACTGGGATCTTTCTTTGGCGAATTTGCACGAAGGTCAGTGAATGAGTTTCCATGTGATTCAAATGATCCTTTGGGTGCATTCATTTATGGTATTACAATGGGAGAATTCTTAATCTCCCAGCTACCTGTGTGTGTTTACTCTTGTAACTATATTCTGGAGATCTGTTATTGGGTTTCTGATGTGTGTGTGTCCCCCCTCCCCGCGTTTAAAGGCTACTCCTGGCTGGGAAGGGGGAGGTTGGAGTGTTTGATCATGGTGAGCCACTAGACAAAATGGGGGTGATGGCTCTTTCATCCCACCATATAAGTAAAATATATGAAAGTATTTGAATGAAGTGTGCTGGCAGATCAAAATGTTTGCGATTAAAATGATTTTGTGGTATTTTTCCAGAATCATTGGCACAAAATGCTGCAAACAACTTGGCGTGCCAGAGTTTGACATTGCTCGAAATGTTTTGGATTTGATCTATGCTCAGACATTGGCATGGTAGGTGACAAATCTTTACATTTAAAAGATTTTAGTAATAACTGCTTGAGAAATTTTCTGAAATATGCTACTTATGAGATGTAGGGCACAGCTGTCCTTAAACAGGCTATCCAAATACAAACAATACCTGTCTAATTAGTTCCTATTCTTTTGAAGTTTAGTGATAAGACAGTCTAACCTGGAACTGACCACTAGTTTTTGATGCTTCATCAGTAGGGCATGGGCTGGAAACTGCATAGAAACAGCATCCCTCTCTCAGACGACTTGATGAGAGAAACAGCTGGATCCATGTCCCTGACTGAAGAAAAAAGCCAGGGCCATCAAGACCATTTTAACCCCCCCCCCGAATTTTTTGAGTCCAGTGGCACCTTTCAGACCAACAAAGCTTTATTTACAATATAAGCTGTTGTATGCAAGCACAGTTCTTCAGATACATTGAAATGGAAGTAAGCAGTCCAGACATGTAGGTAGAGGGTGAGCAGAAAATTAGCATCAGCATAATAAACGGTCCTTGCATCTGTTAAACACTGTTTATTATGCTTGTGCTAATTTACTGCCCACCCTCTACCTACATGTCTGACTTGTCATTTCCATTTCAATGTATCTGAAGAAGTGTGTGTGCACATGAAAGCTTATATCCTGTGTGGTGGAACAGGCCCACTCCAGCCTGCCGGACCTCTTCCACCCTGCCCCCCCCCAAGGTTTTCCCCAATACCTGGAGAGGCTTTTCTTTCTCTCTCAGATAACCACTGCCACCCACCTGACCTTTGTAAGGAATTGTCCGCTGGGAGGGTCAGGACTTCCAGCTTCCCTTCCCAGATCTGAGGCTTTGCCTCTGTGTCTCCCACTGCCCACTGCCTGGTCACCACATGGACACAATAGCTGCTTGCCAACTGCTCCAAGACAGTGGAGGTCTATATGGTACAGAGAACCACCACCAGCATCAAAAGCTATAAAGTATTTATTTAAAAGAAAATGTTCACAGGCATACTTTTAAGCACAGTACCAGATTGAGCAAGGGTTTCAGAAGAAATGAGTAGAATGCAGTTCCTCTGTCCCCCTCTCTCTTTATCAGATGTTAAAAATCCTTAGCTTAGGATGTTATAGATCTCTACAGTTTCCACCATTCCCTTGAAGCTTCCTCCAGGACAGCACATGGTTAAATGGCTGCGTCCTCCAGACTTCAGTTAAGAGTTCTGTCTGCTCTGATGGACTCAGCACCAAAGAGAGCTTCCTCCTTGCTCCCCTGAGTTTTATCCCCTCTCCTTTCCCTTCCCACTGACCCGGTCAGGCCGGGTCAAGAAAGCTTTTCCTGACATCTCCAGAAATTTCTTTCCTGAAGTCTCTCTAGTATTTAACACCGCCAAATCTCTGTTCCCTGCTTGAAGAGGAGGCGGGGGGAGAACTTGACCATCCCATTGTCTAGACTTATTAGCATTTGTATGAAGGTGGGCTGAGGTAAGTCTGGAAAGCCATTGACTTGACTTCCTCCTTTCCTGCCTGTTCTCTGCCAAGAGAGGGGGAAAAAACTTTAGTAACTCAGAGTGAAGGTTTTGCTCATTTGAAACCTCCAAAGGAAAATGCATTTCTTCATACCCTGAATAAAACTTCATTGGTCTTAAAGGTTCCACTGGACTCAAGCTTTGTTCTGTAGTCTATCTATAACATATGCCAGCCATAATTTCCTGACCTTTCCTACCAATTGGCAAGGCTGTCTCCATGGAACTTTCTGCAGTGAGAGGGAGTTCCCCCTTCCCTACCAGATTCACAGCCGAACTGTGTGAACTGATTAACAGGCTCTGAAATGACCTTGGCAGGTAACCCTCAGTTTGAGGGGGGGTGGGGTTGTCGCTCAGGATGCCAGGAGAAGAGAGTTTTACTTGGCCTTTTCCTCCAAGATGGTTTTTCTCTTGACCCCTTGCGTGTGCAGAGGGCCTCTCTCTGGGGATCGGATAGGATCTTTCTCTGAGCACATGAGCTTGGCTTAGACGTGGCAAGCCAGAGACCCCGGCTGCCTTCAGGCTGGCCACCCTAAGCCAAACCTGTATATGCTCGTGAAAAGACACTTTTGGCTCCGTATAGTTCTCGAAGTTTGAAAAAAGCAAAGAACATTCTGCAGGGTTTGTCACACCCTGAACACTCCCTGTTTGAACTGCTGCCTTCGGGTAGAAGATATAGGACAATTAAAACAAGGACAAACAGATTAAAAAATAGTTTTTTATTCGAGAGCTATTATTGCTTTAAATGCTGTATGAAATTGGAATTTGGGTGACATTGGTGGTTTAAATTGCAATGTGAACCTTAAGGGGAGTTATGGGATGGTTGTGAATGGTTGTGTGAGTGTATATGAGTATGGTTCACCAAAATGATTGCATCTTTAATTTCGTTGTACTATGTACAATGACAATAAAGTATATTATTATTATTAGATTTTTTTTACTGTTCAACAGAACCATTTAAAGCATAAAATTCTATTTCAACGTTTTCATTACAGATTATTATTGAACAAATATGCCAAAGCTGTTGCAGGTTAAGAAAGTTAATTGACAAAAATCCTAGCAATTCAATACAATAAAATCTGTGTACAGAGGCATCTCAGTTACAATAATAGAAATTACGAAGTATTATTTTGACTCAGCTGTTCATAGTAACGTTTAACAACATAGAGAGAGAGAGAGAGAGAGTGCAGTGGTGTTGCTTGAATTATTTTTAAATTGTATATATCAGATTTAGGGTGTGATCATACGTACCAAAAGCGGCAGCAACGGTGGAATTCCCCCGCGGAGTAAAGGGGCGCGATCAGACAGAAACATCTGTCCAGCGTCCCGGAGTAGTTGCTGGGGCGTCTTGTTGCGCCGCAGGAGCGTGGGAAAAAGCCACCGGGGAAAGGCTACTATTATCCGGAACTGCGGGGCGCACGGGCGGAAGTCTGATCATGCAAACGCGCGTCATTTTGGCCCAGGGAAAAGAGCCTCGCTTCCCGCCCGCATTTTCTCGCTTGTGTGACTGCAGCTTTTGCTTCTATCGGCTCTTAAATCAGACAATAGCAACAAGGAGAGAGACAAAGAGACCCTTGTCCAGAAACTTAAAGGATAGTTTGCTCTTGACAAAATGGCACTACCGTAAAAATGTACAAAGAGGATTGCTCACCAACAAGCAAAGGAGGAAGTCTTCTGCTTGCACTGCCACGTTGTGCCCAAAAAAAGAGTTTGATTTACTCCTGGTTTTCTTCTCCGCAGGATTGGCATCTTCTTCTCACCTCTGATTCCAGCCATTCAGATACTATCATTTTTCATCATATTTTATGTGAAAAAGGTACCGTGCTTTTCATGTAACCTCTAAGAACCTAGCAGCTTTTTTACTCTTAGCTAAAATACATCATCTCCTGCCAACCTAGTAGTTCGAAAGCAAGAAATTGCAAGTAGATAAATAGGTACCGCTTCAGTGGGAAGGTAACAGCGTTCCGTGCGCCTTGGTGTTTAGTCATGCCGGCCACATGACCGCGGAAACGTCTTCGGACAGCGCTGGCTCTTCGGCTTTGAAACGGAGATGAGCACCGCAACCCTAGAGTCTGACTCGACTGGCTTTCGAGCAAGGGAACCTTTACCTTTACTTTAGAATACATCATGCCTGTTTTTTTTAAGGGAAGCTAGCTGAGTAGGGTGTCTTCTTTGCAGAAGGTGACTAGACAGAACTTTGAAAGACTCTGAGACTCTGTAGTCTGCAGTAGCAGAAACAGCCTTTCAGGATAGTCTGCAGATATTTTCCTGTTTGTGGAGTAAATGAAGACAAAACGAAGGGAACGGCGGGTCCTCGTCACTGCAGTGCCAACATGAGCTCTCGAGCTTGTAGGCTAAAGTGAACTCCTTGCCTCCTCGAGTCAATTAAGTGGGGCTTTCCTAACCTGCAATGCCTGTATGGGGATTCTAGTCTTCTCCATCCCTTCCTCCTGCAGGTCAGTCTGATGATGAACTGTCAGCCACCTCGCAAAGCCTGGAGAGCTGCTCAGATGAACACCCTCTTCATTTTCTTCCTGTTCTTCCCGTCCTTTACTGGTGTCCTCTCTGTGATAGCAGTCATTGTCTGGAGGTAACAAGAGGCTCCTTCCCCTTTCAGCTTCTGGTTTGGTTAACCAGAGGCACATCTGCTAGCAAAACCACCTCCTACTGGAGTCTACAAAATAATCTCCTGTCCCACAGAACCAGGGCTATTTTTGGGCAGGAACGCACAGGAACTGAGTTCCGGCTGGCTCCCAAGTTGGCCACGCCCATCAGGAACTCATTAGCATAATAGGCCACACCCAACGGCAGAAACTCATTAGGATTGGCTACATTAGGGGTGTGTGGCCTAACAAGCAAAGGAGTTCCTGCTACAAAAAAAGGCCCTGGGTTTTGACAACAAACAAGGTAAACAGAATAAGAAGCAAACGGTGGGTGTGGCTGGATGACCACACTTCTGGTAACATGGGGCTGCGGCCTAATGTGCTAATGAGCTGTGCTGGCAGGGGTGTGGCCTAATAGGCTAATGAGTTTCTGGTGTTGGGTGTGGCCTATTATGCTAATGCGTTCCCGGCTGGGCTTTTTCTACAAAAAGAGCCCTGCACAGAACCAACATTTTGGGGAGATCAGTTTCCTGCAGTGGGGGAGGGAGAGGAGAGTTCCATTCCGCATACAAAGGTGCCTTCTGTTAATGGTAAATATAGTCTGGATCAATGCTCCCTCTAAGCTGTGGAGCCTTGTGAGCAAAAATCCTCCTTTGTGAGCTACTGGCATTCCAGTTGTGAGCGAGCGGGTTGGCTGCTGCATACATTAGTTTGCTCTGGAGCCCTCCTTCCTGAGCTCAGGCAAAAATGTGTGAGGCGGAGGCTAAAAACCTGTGAGCTGGCTCATGCTCACTCACCTTAGAGGGAACACTGGTCTTGATCCAGCCAGTTGTGTTCAAGCTTGATGAGGCATTGCCAGGCTGTTAATACATTCTTACCCTGACCTCCATGGGCCAGGTTAGACAGATTGTATCACATCTCAGAAGCTAAGCAGGGTCAGGCCTGGTTAGCATTTGGATGGGAGACCAGCAAGGAAGTTCAGGGTTACGATGGCAAACCACCTCTGAATGTCTTGAAAACCCTCCATAACTTGGTTGTTACCTGACGGCACTTTCCACCCGTGTTCCCTCTAAGCTGAGTGAGTGTGAGCCAGCTCACAGCTTTTTAGCTTCCAGCTCACACATTTTTGTCTCAGCTCAGGAAGGGATGGCTCCAGAACAAACTTAATTTATGCAGTAGCCAAATCGCTTGCTCACAACTTTAATGCCAGTCGCTCACCAAGTAGCATTTTTGCTCACAAGACTCCACAGCATAGAGGGAGCATTGCTTTCCACCCTCCCCCCAATACATCCTTGGCCATTTCTTCTGACTTGCTGGAAACAGTTATTTATTATAGTTGTTATTAAATCTCCACAAATGTTGATGAAATTATTTATATCAAGGACTTTAGGTATGAGAGTACTGCCTCATGAGTACTATTCATAATGAAGCCCCGTTGTCAAAATATACAAATGTCTTTCTGAAGTGCCTTTTTGCTTATCTTCCCAGAATGAAGCCTTCCGAAACGTGTGGTCCATTCCGAGGCCTGGAGACTATCTTTGCAGCCATTTCTGGCTGGATAGCCATTCTGACCACTTACTCCAGCTCACTATGGATCGTGTGGATTTATCACAATTTGCTTGAAAGTGTTCATTTCTTCTTCATCCTTTCAGTCATTGTGTTGTGAGTGTCTGTTGCGTTGTTATTCCCTTGACAATGGTGTTTGACCTAACTTATATGGATGAAAGCGAGCAAGCAAAATTTCTATGACAGATAATCCCCACTCCCAAGCAGGGCTCCCTCTAGGCTGCGGAGCAAAAATTCTGCTTTGTGAGCTCCTGGCATTAAAGCTGTGAGCCAGCCATTTGGCTGCTGCATAAATTATTTGGCTCTGGAGCCATCCTTCCTGAGCTAAAACAAAACTGTATGAGCTGGAGGCTAAAAAAGTGTGAGCTAGCTCACACTAACTCGGCTTAGAAGGAACACCAGTCCCCAGAACTTGGAGCAGCACTGCTGGATTTTATTTTCCTTTACAGGAGCCTTAATCTACTATTGTATGGTAGTAAATAAAGCAAATGGCCCACATAGACATAGCTGCTGGCAAACCTGCCCTCCCACAAGACAGCAAATACCACAGGAGCCTTTTCCAAGTTTGCACTCCCCACCTCCACCCCCAGTTTCAACTAACTCTTTTTCTCTCTCTGGCCATTGTGATTTTCAAACGTCTATTTCTGCTATCTCTCTGCCCCCCACCCCCTTAGGTAGAGGGTGTGACTCCTTCTCTGAGCTCTCATAGCTCTTTTGTACACAAACATAGGTATCCAGCTATCAAGAGACAATCTCCTAAATATTAGCTCCCACTGATGGGACACTAGTTACCATCTTGGAGTCTTGATCAGCAGTATGTTGAACAAGAGAATGATCAGCCAATATCTGAAAGTTGTCAAGTCCTGTTAAGTATTCAGGGAAAAAGACTGCCTGTTGAAATGGACACCCATAAAAGTGGGGAAGCATCACCCCCCCCTTTCAAATCCTGTACATGACTAGTATGGAAATGAATGTTTTCCAAACATCTTTTTTTATATAAATAATGTAAGGATGTCTGTTAAAATCCTGTGGTGTTTTTTTTTTAACTTATCAGTTAGTAAGGAGAGGAGCTGCGGTGGCTCAAGTGGTTAAGACGCTGAACTGCAGGCTGTGGAAGGTCGGTAGTTCAGCAGTTCGAGATCCGGGTGTGCCGCATGATGGAGTGAGCTCCCGTCTCTAGGTCCAGCTCCTGCCAACCTAGCAGTTCGAAAGCAAGAAATTGCAAGTAGACAAATAGGTACCGCTTCGGTGGGAAGGTAACAGCGTTCCGTGCGCCTTGGTGTTTAGTCATGCCGGCCACATGACCATGGAAACATCTTCGGACAGTGCTGGCTCTTCGGCTTTGAAACGGAGATGAGCACCACAACCCTAGAGTCAGATTTGACTGGATTTCGAGCGAGGGAACCTTTACCTTTACTAGTAAGGAGAAGGACATATGCTACTTGTAAATAATGAACTGACTGGGATGTCTTTGTTCTGTTCTAGAATTATCACATACCTTTACTGGCAGATAATCGATGGACGGAAAATAATGGTTAAACTGCTACAAGAGCAGATCGTGAATGTAAGTGTGTTGCTGTGTTGTTATGGGTCGTTTGTGCTGTAGTACAGTGTACTTTTGTTTCTTTACAAAGGGTGGAGAATGAGCAACTCCCAATGGAAGTATGTTTTGTTGTTCGTTCAGTTCTCCCCTTCTCTGCACAAATGGCGGGAGCCAGGATTCCAGTGGTAGCTGTACCCCTCCTCCCTGGCCCTGATTCAAAGTGCACAGGATCTGAAGAAGTGAGCAGTGACTCACCAAAGCTCCTCCCTCTGCCACAAATGTTGTTAGTCTTTAAGGTGCTACTGGACGCTTGCTCTTTTCAAAATGTACAGAAGCATGGCAAATTATGATTTCCGATTGGGAGAAGAGTGGGATTTTATGCCCCACTTTTCTCGAAGGAGTCTCAGAGCAGCTTAGAATGGCCTTCCCTTCCACTCTCCACGCCAGGCACCTTGTGAGGGTAGGTGGGGCCGAGAGAGCTCTGAGAGAACTGGGACTTGCTTAAGGTCACCCAGCAGGCTTCATGACGAGGAGGAGTGGGGAATCAAACCTGCTTCTCCAGATTAGGTTCCCCTGCTTTTAACCACTACACCTCCCTGTCTGTCTGCGCGATTGGCTATCCGTGTGCTCCACTTGAGTCTCTCACTGGCGGCTTAGAGCCAGTTGGAGAGCTGACTTTTTCTCCATTTAAGAATGCAAAAGTGGAACTTAACACTACCATTGGAGTAGGTTTGGCAGCTGGACTGTCTGGGGTGAAGATGTGCCCTCTGAAAGGTGCTGCTTGGCCCTTTAATTGCCCACCCAAGAGTAAACAGGGGGCCTAGAATGAAAGGCGGCAAGAGTTGCCAGCAGGCCGTTTTGGAGAACTGGAAGTCTTCGGCGCCTGGCTTGGTCTTCCGCAGTGGCCTCTCTAGGAAACTGAGAGTCTAGTTGCTGACCTGAGGCCTGTCTAGGTGGTTGGTAACTAGATCCTCAAGCAAACGGAAATGTCCCCCTTGCACTCCTGTGAATTGCTCTTCATTTCTGCCTGCTGGATGAGGCAGACCACTGAGAATCTGAAAATACCGATGGCCACACAACCCCTTTCTGCTCTGCATGTCAGAAGAGGCAGGCAGGTGATGTGGCTTGTCTGTCATTGTGGAGCCCCCGTGTTGTCTGCCCCCCGGTGTTCTTTGGCCTCCGGGCTTCTGCTGGGTGGGAGGGAGGGAGACGGGCCTTCCAGTCTGTCTGCTGTGGCCAGCCCTGTTCTAAGAGGTTTCTACCCCTCTGTCTACGGCGGAGAGTTCCAGGCTGGTCGGTCTGTCTCACTGCAAGGGAAGGGAATGGAGGGCACTTCCACCCAGAGCTCTCTTGCCATGGGTGTTTTTGGGGAGACTTCTGCATCACTGTCAGCCTTCTGGGTTTCCCCTGGCTCTGCTGCCGTTTCCCTCAAACCTGCCTTTGCAGCGGTAGTGAGAATGAAATGGGGGAATCTGTCAGCATACTATCAGGTATGAAGCAAGATGACAGCCTAAGAAAGTAAATGGTGGAGATCGTTCTGATCTGGTTGACAGCAGGAGGAGTCATACGATCACGTCACCAGGTTAAGATTGCATCTCAGTTGCATCAGCTAAAATGACGTCACCATGAGTCAGCACTGATCACTGATTGGTGCTGAACATGTATATAAGTGTGTAAAGTACTTGTAGAGGTGTTCACTCTGTGAATGCCTTGCTGCGGAGCACTCTGCCGGATTGTACAGCGATTTGGAGTTGGAGAGTGCTATATGAACTGTGTATATATCTGTGTAAATAAATCCACTGTGAATAGTCAGCACTAGCAACCTGGTACGTGTGGTTACTAGACGCTTCATACGCTAACAGAATCGCCCCCACGTGGGAGCAGCCTAGCTAAAGGCCCTGAGTGTCAATGTTCTACTGTTGGGGGAAGGCTGAATGGGTTTCACTGGAGAGTATCAAATCCTGCCTAGAATTAGAAACTCACTGATACTGAAATGTTTCTTGTTTTGTAGGAAGGCAAGGATAAGATGTTTTTGCTGAAGAAGTTACGTGCGCTTCAGGCAACTGGACTCCCAGATCCTGGAGAGCAGCGAGAGGTTAGTTTCCGGCGGGGGTCTTTTCGTGGAAAAAGAGCTGCAGGAGCTCATTAGCAGAAGGTATGCTAATGAGCCACTAGGCTATTAGCATAATAGCTCATTGGCATATGCCATGCCACCTGACATCACTGGAAGTGATGTTAGAAGGGGAAGCAAAAGGGGGGGAGGCATCTTCAAAAGCCTCCCCTTCCCTTCCCCAGCTGGCCTGCGGGGGGGGGGCAGGGGAGAGCAAAGAGAGAAGGGGTTTAAATTTTAAACCCCTTCTCACTAAAGTTGGGCCGCAGAAGGAGGAAAGAGGGAAGGAAAGAGAGAGAGAAGAAAAGAAAAGAAGGAAGGAAAGAGGGAAAGAAAGAGAAGGAAAGAAGGGAAAGAAAGAGAAGGGAAGAAGGAGG